TGTATATTTACAGTTTACAAGAAATGTAACTTTGAAATTAAATGAATGTAACAGCAAAGACAAGAACTTCTGTAAAAACTCCATAAATCTGGAAAAACAAGGACCCTTGATAGAAATTACCATATAATAACTACATGATTTTTCAACACATATGGAAATACCCTCAACTTCAAGGACCCATTACAAATTGTTTTCTGTTAAAAAAAACAAAAAAAAAAAAAAATGAATACATTTACCCTGGTTGGTGAAAATACAGCTCCACAGGCACACACTCCAAGATAAAGATTTGCCCCCCAAAAAAACAATAATCTCACTTCACAGTTCACACCCTAAACTGAAACCCCATAAGCTAAAAATTCAAACAGCACTGCAAAAATGCAAACTTGAAACCAAAAGGCAAGAAAACAGAAAAAATTTGGAGAATAAAAATGGCTGCACACACACACACACACAAACCATGAACTTAGCCAACAAAGGAGCTTGCTTGGGAGAACAAAAAAATGCCCTTTGCTATTCAACACACACTAAAAGACAATAGGAAAAAAATTAAAAAAAAAAAATGCCACAAAATAAATAATTATAACTACAAAAACAAAAGAAAAAGAGCCCATAAAACTCACCCAAGGTACAAGTGTGAAAATGAACACAGGTGTTTCTGAAAAAAAAAAACCCTTTTTGCTTTATCTTTTGAGATAGAAATTAGCAGCTCTCAAGCTATTGTTACCCCACACGAGTTTCAATAAAAAATGGTGAAAAAAAAGTAAGGAAAGAGAATACAGAGAGAGAGAGAGAGAGAGAGAAAATTTCTTGGTAGCTCGAGAGAGAAGAACGTGAGTGGTTTTTGCTCTGATGCAATTCCCAACGTTTTTTCACTATCTCTGTCACTGTTTCACAATCACGCGCCGTTGATTGTGGTTTGAAATGGTATTTTTTTTATTGGTAGGAAATATAGAAATGCATTATATAAAATTATTAATTACAAGTGCAGTCTACTGATTTATTGGTAATATATATTTTTTGCACGTACTCATAAATTTGTGTAATTTTTTAAAATTGTAAAAAAAAAAAAAAAATGAACAATATTTACATAGTGTACCAAATGTTCATCTAACTTGCGCAATTAGGCATCTATACTCATTCTCATTACTCCAAACAGTAATTTATCTTCAACTGATATACTTATATTCAAACTCAAAAGAATATTTTTGGAATATACTCTTTCACACCAACTTTTACAACTTTCACTACTAGCCACATACTTAAGGTGGTGATTGTTTATAGTTTCAATAGTAAAAAAACTAGTTTTTATTTGGTTTATTTTTAACTATAGTTAATTTTGAAAAAAATATGGTGTGGATAGTTGTTAGTGGATATATTAATATAATATTTAAATAAAATAATTAAAATTGATTTGATGTAAATTATAAGAAAAATGATTGGAAGTGATGGTTAGTTAGAATTATGTGAGTGAATGAATATTGAATTAAAGTTGACGTGATGTGTACGAATGATTGATTGATATTATTTAATTATATTATTAATATTGAAGATAGTGAAATAGAGTTAAATGTGAGTTAAATTTGAGTTTTGATTGGATTTTTTACTATTGAATTTATATACAATCACATTAACAATTTTACAAACTAGACTCATTATTATTTATATTTGATTGAATAAATAAATAAATCAGTAACAAATAAATTACATATTGCATACATGTTCATGTAAAAATATTGAGATATATGTTCATATAAAAAATATTGAAATACATACTCCATTATTTCATATGTTGATGTCCAAAATCAGACGATCAACTGTCAAATATACATCGAACTTCTTGTTATATTTTATACTTTAGAGTATTTGAGGGTAATATATGGGTTAACGGTTAATATGCAATTTGAGGTAAAAAAAAATAGACTTGGGTGCAATTTGAAAACTTTAAACGCATTGTTTGTGTTAAACACAAATATGCATTTTAATAAGGAGAGATGAACAGAATTACTCATTTTGCGTATATCTTTGTCATTAGATTGGAGTAGCACCTCAATGTTTTCGATTTGAGTGTCGGTTGGAGACGGTCTTAGTGGCACAATGTTTGCGATTTAGCTAGGTAACTAAGCTTTTTTTTAACATTTGTGAGTATAAATTCTATAATTTTGCCTTTTTATCTCACTAATTCCCACAAATACTCCATCTTCGTTTTTTTTTTTAATTTTATTATTAGTCCCAATAAAAAATTTGTTGTTATACTGTATAATTGTTAGACAATCATAATATTCTTTTGATAAAATATATATTGATATTACGTATTTTAAAGTAAGATGTTTGCTTTAAAAAAAAAAAAAGAAATAGTTATTTCCACCTTTGAAAAATGAACAAATTTATCACACTGCTAGATGAAAAAAATTAATTTTTTCCTTTAAAAAAAGTGCGAAAATATTATGCAGTAATTAAGCAACAATTGTGCAATTTACGTTGAGCGAATGTTAATAATGCGAAAGCAAACGCACAATCCTTCGTATTCTCTAATGTAAATATGAAACTGATATGTGACAGTTACGCGAACCATTCAAATAATTTTCGCATTTTTTAAGGTGAAAAAGTTAGATTATTATCGCACGGGGTGAAAAACTTAATGTAATAAATTACAAGAAATTACGGGAAAGAGTGTATTTATGTAGCTTCTCTTTGTCATTAATACCATTTCAATCTTTCATGTAAATGCTAGTTTTTGTGCCTCACTAGTCAATGCCTAATAGGAAATTGTAGAGGAGAAAAAAAAAAAAAAAAAATAATAAATAGTGATGGGGTCCATAAATTTTTTGAATCATGATTTTGTAGTTCGAGATTGATTCCTTCGAGTTAAACAAATTTTAGGGGAAAAATATTTATTTTTTAAATTTTAAAAATTGGGAGTTTTAGTCAACATGAAAGAGAGAGCCTATATTATGAATGTGAAACTTTTGGATAGAGCACTGAAGTTGGATATTCTGGATTTGGGCCGAGTCGAATTAGTTGGGCCCGTTGAAAACGATGGTTTTAGAGACTCGGGTGTAAAATCAACGGTCCAAAACAGCATATTAAAGTTGTTATTCGAATGGAGTTGTTCGTTAATATATATGACTCGGTTATGAGTTGTAAAAACTCGATTTCAGCTTGTTCATTCACATAAACAAATCGGGTACGAAAAACTAAACGAGTTAGTTTTATAAAATGAGTTGAGCTCGTTCGCAAGCAGTTTGTTTTTTTTATAGTTGAGTTGGGCCGAGATGTCACGAGCTTAAATGAGCCGAGCTCGATAGTATTTGATTCATTCATAAACGAGCCAAGCTAGCTCGTTTATAAAAGAATACAATCTCGAAAACAATATTCGGTTCAATTTGAATAATATCTACCGCAAATCACGTACGAGTACATAATATGCTTCAAATGCAAAACAATCCATTACAAAATTGTGTTTAAAGAGAATGTAAAAGAAGTTTCATATACATTGATACACAAACACATAGATTAGTAGAAACAAAAAATCAAATGAAATTAGTAGCCCAATAAAGAGTATCATCAAGTGAGGCTCAAATTCACATGTTCCTAGCAAGAGATAAAAGAGTATATATGCTATAATAAAATGGTTTATTAACAAAAATTCCAATCAATACAACTCCAGACCAAAAATCCACACAATGTATAAGCTCAAAACTTCTTCACCAAATCATATGTAACCATAAATACAAGAGTATTTTTAAGTTCTTGACACAAACCCAATAACAAGAAGTCACTAACTACACTGTAAAAACCTTCACTCACAAATCCCATAGAAACTAATTAGCAATCAAGAAAAGCTTTTTCTTTTTTTTTTTTTTTTTAACCTTATGTGCCTGCATACTCTTTACTCCATCTTTCAATTGTGGCAACCTCGACAAAACCCAGCTCGACATATCGTCATTCAACCACAATCCTTCGCCTGTCTCCTTATGCTTAAAATCGGGATACCTCGAATTTTTCTTTTCCAATCTATTATCCCACCATTTACTAGGATTTTCCACCAAATTCATCCAAGAGTCCTTTTTTGCATTATCTTTCACACACTTCACGTCAAACTCCAATCTTGCAAGTCCCGGCAAAACCCAGCTCGGCGTATCGTCATTCAACCACAATCCTTCGCCTGTCTCCTTATGCTTAAAATCGGGATACCTCGAATTTTTCTTTTCCGATCTATTATCCCACCATTTACTAGGATTTTCCACCAAATTCATCCAAGAGTCCTTTTTTGCATTATCTTTCACACACTTCACGTCAATCTCCAATCTTGCAAGTCCCGGCAAAACCCAGTCGGGGGCATTATTGACCCAAAGCGAATCAGCGGTATCTTTGTGCTTGAAGTCCGGGAAATTTTCTTTGACGAGCCCATTAGATTTGTGTGCACGAAAATCCCACCACTTTTTAGGGCTTTTCACAAGATCCCTCCATAAGTCCAAGCTCTGCTCCCCATTCTTCTTCTTCTTCTTCTTCTTCTTGTTAGCGCTCGGTGAATTTTTATTGTCCCCTTTCTCCGGTTTAGTCTCGACATGACCCAAACTCTTTGCCTTAATGTTCGAGTTACGAGAAACAGAACAGGAGGCCCAATCGCCTTCACCAGAAAATGTCTTCACTTTAGCTTCTTCAATGGCCTCTTTCCATTTCTGACTAAACTCTTCATCACATTCCACATTTTCTGATAAAGGCTTCTCGACTTTCGCAGATGAAACCCCATCTCTAACTGAACCTCTCTCGATTTCGAAAGATGAAAAGCCAGATCTTTTATCATTTTTCTTTTTCGCAAAGCCCTCGACGAAATTGAAATTCTCGGCCACGAGATGGTACCTCCCGAGGCCATTGCCGAAGGCGAACCTCGTGGGCCCCATGCTCAGTCTCCCCGAAACGAAAACGCTATCCTTCTCCTCGACGTGACACGCCACGGCCTGAGCCAAATCGCCCTCGAACACAACGGGGATCACGAGGGAGTCGCGACCGCCGCCGCCGCCTTCCTGAGCAATCACGGCCGCCGCGAAGTGATTCCCATTGGCTCCGGACTCAAACTGAACCGGTTTTCTGACGCGGCCGATTAAATTCACGGAGTTGGCGGCCCGCACTTGGTACGGAATCTCTATCGGCTTGGGGCAGTCGACGGTCAGCCCGGCCCGCTTCTTGCTTTCGTGGGAAAAGACCGAGTCCGAGGGTTTCTGGGCTCCGGCGTTTTTCGCCGGTCGTTGGGTTTTGGGGCTAAATTGAGCTGTTTTGGTGGAGTAGTGATTCGATTGATGAACTCCGGCGAATGATTGGACGGGAAAACTGCGTCCTCCAGAGAATAATTTGGTTCTGGCGAGTAAATTCATGATCGGAATTAGCGTGTTGTAGAGAAAATACCAAGGGTTTATGGGTTTAGGGTTTATATTCAGATAAAGGGATAGGTTTTGTTTGGTCAAAATTAATTTAGCTATTTTTCATATTTTAATTTTTAGCATTAAATTATAGTGTAAATTTGTGTGAATTGCTGAATCAAACAAAAAATAAAAATTTCTTAAAATTGAACATATATTTTGCAAATTACAATAGTAAATTATTTAATAATTTATAATATAATGTGTTTAAAATCATCAAAAAATTGATAAACTTAAATAATATTTACTTGTACATTTTTTTTTCTCAAAATGTATAACAAAATTAACAATTAACAAGGTCTAAAAATATACAATTTTGTTCAAAATGTATAACAATATCCATTAGACCACCTCAGTTCTCAATGAAATTTCTAAGTAATCTCCAATCTCCACACAGTTAGAAATAAACAGAACATACACTCTTCAATCAAAAGAAGAACACACACACCAAAGAATACTGTAAACAGTGCTATGATCCAAATTTTTATCACTCAATCTTCATTTTCAGGCTTAGTAGAAATCGATTCTCTTCCGGGCCTATGTTTCTTCCATTTTTTCTTCCGCAATGCCATTATCCAATCAGGCACTTCACCACCAGAAGCTGTAATAACATTGGCTATATTTCTTAAAAACGGGACATCAGCTTCGGTGTATAGTGTTATGGCCTCACCAGTCCTCCCGGCTCTACCCGAACGACCTTTTACCAAAAAGGTCAAAACGGAGAAAACAAAAAGTCAATACAAAAAAAAAAACTTAGTAAATATCAAGATTATACTTGGTTAATTAAACTACTATGTCTTGAGGTTGCAATTTGAAAAATAGAAACAAATGTTCAGAGATATTTGCAATTTGTAAAATAGAAAAGATAATCCAATGAATTAAGCATTTGTATAAGAGTATCTAAAGTATTATGAGATGTTAACAATTCATTTAGACATCGGTGGTAATTACTAATTACTAAACAAAGTAATGCTCACTAAACATACCGATTCTATGAATATATGCAGCTGCTGAATCAGGAAAATCATAGTTGATCACACAGTTAACACCTTTGAAGTCCATACCACGGGCTATAACATCGGTAGCAATCAAAACCCAGGTTCTTCCGGATCGAAAATTATCAACGGCATGCTCTCTCTACAATCAATTCAATGAGTCAGGATAAAATTCACATATTTTCCACATTTGCATAAAGCAGCAACAAACCTATTAGGCATTTGTCATAATTATAAAAAAGAAAAGAGGCAATGAAACCTCGACCCATTAAAAGCTAAAGAATAAACTTTGTACGAGCACAGAGAATTGTCTACAAATCCATGGATAGAAGGAAAAAAAAGTTACCTGTATTTGAGAAAGATCAGCATGTATAACATCAGCTTTAATGTCATCATACTTCAGCTCATTATACAGTTGTTTAGCTCGCTCCTTATTTTGAACAAAAAGTAGCACCGGTGGGTTCAAACTCTGAAATAGACAATGGAAGAATATTTAAGTAATTACGCTCAGTGATAATAGCCTTTCTTCAGATGATGAATAATTAATGAAGGGTTAAAAACAAGTCTCTCCAAGCAGAAATCGCACAAACTACAGAAACATATAAAAAAATGAATAAAAAATGCATTAGGCAAAATCACCAACGAAGTCCACTCAAATGAAAAAACAGAACACATTAGAAGTTTTAATTATACCTCTGAGAAACTTTGACGAAGGGCGATAAGCTTGCCTTCCTCGCTCCCCACAAATATGAGCTTCTGTTTTATGGAGTCAGATGCAGAATTTCTGCTCAAATCAAAGAGTAACCAATAAAAGTACAGTTCAAAAACAGAATTTCTCATGCATTTTTTTCATTCTCAAATTTATCTTCAAATTAATTTGATCCCACAGAAAAGAAAATAAATGATCTTTTCATTATTAATAGAATTATTATTATTCTTATTATTATTATTATTATTATTATTATTATTATTATTATTATTATTATTATTAAAATCTTACTTCCTGCCAATGATGACACGGACAGCATCATGCATAATTGTACGCGCAAGTTCTTCCACAGTATCAGGTAAAGTAGCACTGAACAATGAGCGCAAGATTGAAGGATTTGAGCATGCTTTGACCACAGCATCAACCTGCTCAACCAAGCCTAACTCGAAAAGCTTGTCCGATTCATCCAGAACAAGAAACTCCACCCTGCACATGAGGAGAAGTGAAACCTCAAAAATCGAGAAGCTTTTGAAGGTATAGCAACACTTTTTAACATTTGAAACTGGAAAGCCAAACTTGACATAATTTTTTTTTTTTTTTTTTTTGGCAATAACTTTCAACAAATCGACAAGCAGCTCTGTGCATTAGCAATGGAGACTCGAGTATAGTATTTGTCCATTTACGAAATTTGTTATTCAAAAACCATTTGAGGATTCGTCAGACTCGCAAGAAGTTTCAGCAAAAATTTATCACAAGCCATCACTTTTTTCCTAGTATGTGATCTACATGAGATTCATGACATACTAACAGAAAAAAATAAAAATAAAAAAGGAAAACAGAGATTCAGCAGTGAGTGGGGTTCTTACTTGCTCAAATCAAGTTTTCTTTTGCGTATAGCAAACTGCACCCGGAAAGGAGTAGATATGAGAATATCACAAGGCAGTTTTGAAAAATCGGCACCTTTCGCAAGCTGCTTGGTCATTAGTTTGATGTAAAACTTTTTCCCTTTAGCCAACTTCTTGCACTCTCTTGCTGTCTGAGCGGCTAATTCGCGTGTGGGGCAAAGAATCACAGCCCGAACCCCATCTTTTGAAGCATGCTGCTTGTTGGATGATAAAATTCATTAGAAAAATTAAACGGATATGATTACGTAGAAATTTTTAACGCTTATTCTTCTTCTTCTTCTTCTTTTTTTTTTTTTTAACCTGAAGTTTCATAAGTATAGGACAGATAAAGGCAAAGGTTTTTCCTGAACCAGTTGGAGCACAAGCAAAGCACTCCCTTTCCTGTACATATATGGAAAATAAAATGATTACATAAAAATAGAGACACACAGTTATTAACATAAAAAATGATTTAACCAAGGAAGCATCAGTTATCAAAAGTAAGAAACCCAGAGAGAGAGAGAGAGATAAATGAACAAGTAAAAAACAGCTCAAACGAAAGGTCATACAGATAATAAGACTGGAATAGCCTGCCTTTGGATCGGTGTTGGCTCCTTAAAACCCAGTTCTGCCAAGTTGCGCAACAGATAGGACCTGCAGTTATACCTGTATAAACAAAAGGACAAAACAGTCTGCTTTACACGGAAACTGGATGCATGAAAAAATACTAACACTTCCATATAGCTAGGACTGAAAAAATTAAAAGGCATACAATTGAACTGAAAATGGCACTGCATCCATCTATAACAAATCTAAGACATGAATGATGGTGAAATATTAGCTTATTACCTCGATCTTAACTCTTTGAAGTCCAGAAGTGGGGACGGGATATTGCTCCCAGAAACATGAATATTATGAGTCTTCCGAAAAATAGCATCCCTCTAACACCCATTAACATGTTACACATAGAAAAAGTATAACCGAATGTTAGGCTGCTTATGTGCATAAAAGTAACCAGCCGTGTCTTATTAGCTTAAAACCAAGTACTTTCTTTATGTCTCCTTCATCAGAATGAAACTTTACTACATTAAATAATAAAATAAAACAATTGTCGTTACAACAGAAATAAGTGACACTGAGAGAACCTCCAACTGCCGATGATATTCCTTCTTCTGCTGTACAACTTCATTTTCATTATGGTCCACTGCTTTATCTACAGCTTTTGATTCCGAACTTTTAAATAGGCTGAACCCTTCGACTCGGTCTGGAAACGAATGTAATGTGAAAAGGCAAGATCAGCTTATATAAAAAAGTTTGTAACTTTTCACTTGGGTTCTCACATAAAATATGCAATAATCTGTAACCTCTCACATAGAAGGCCAAAAACGGGTTTTTCTTGTTCAATTCCCGACTGCCCATTAGCCCACTTGATCAAAATTCACATATATTAAATGACTTGAACAGAAATTACCTGAACGAGCTGCTTTTCTCTTCCTCTTCTTATCAACACGCATCAAGTCCTCTTCTGTCTCGGGGGTTTCATTTTCAACCACGTTTGACAGCTCGCCAACATCATCTCTCTCTTTTTTCTCCTAATTTTAGAGACCAAAAGTACATATAAAGTCACGATGACGATTCTCAACACATTCAAACAGGCAATGACACGTTAAAAGCATATATATTTGTTGCATAACAGCAGTATTTCCAAAACCCAGAAAAAAAAAAAAAAAAAAAAAAGGTTAATGTTTTCATACGAAGGTCGAGTTATACCTTGAACCTGGCGAAATCACTGGCAAACTTTTTACGATTGAAAGTGATGCCGGAGAAGAGAAATGAGGTGTCCTTCTCCATTACAATTCGACAAATCAACAGTGAATAATTTAAGGTTCTTTCGCAGATGAATCAAGCTTCGGGGATGGTGCTCTGAGAACTTGAGAAGCAGCAAATGAGCAAACTCGAGTAGCTGGAATTAGGGTTTTAGGCTTTAGCGATTTAGGGGTTTTAGCGATTAAATTGAAGTGGAAAAAAACGTGTTACCCTTGAACATTCATGTAGCCACACAATTAAACATTACTCGTGTTACTTTTATTTTTTCATGTTTTATTTTGTATTTATTCTCTTTTTCTAAGGGTAAATCTCAATTGTAGATAAGTTGTACATTTGATAAGTTTGTTTATATGATAAACGTGTTACCAAACACTTTAATTATCTTTTTTAAGCTTGTTTAGTCATTAGTTATGCTAGGTAAAACTAGCTAATAAATTAGCTTATAGTTATAGTTTATCAGTAATTTTCGAGTTTATATAACTAAACAAGCTCGAGATTCATAGTTTGTAAACGAACCAAAATGAGCTTATTGTTTCGTTTACCTGAAAATTATAGTTAATATAGTAAATTCAATTTATAAGCCGCGATATGTGCGTTATAACTTATAAATAATAATGCAGCACAGAATATCAACAATCCGTTGTCGTCCAGTGGTTAGGATATCTGGCTTTCACCCAGGAGACCCGGGTTCAATTCCCGGCAACGGAATCAATATTTTTATATATACTTTTTATTTTATTTTTTTCCTTTTCTGGCCTGTGAACAAATTTTTACAATACATTTTCTTCTGTCCTTATTTTTTCACATCTTCAAATTAATATATCCCGTAACGAATGAAAGTCGCCACAACTTCCCATGAAGAAAAGATCTGAAATGTTTGGCATCACCACAAGCCAACAAATAACTTTCATTTCAAGATCTTCAGGATATATGAAATTCAAACAAGACCAAACCTAAAGCAAACTTTACAACATGCTTCAAAAAGATCCTAAAAAATTTCTGACTCCTCACTAAAAAAGTCTCACAAGACAACATCTGCACAAGAAAACCACAGTAGTTACTTTCTTGATCATCACACGGAGTTTCGATAGTTTTTTTTTTTTCTTTGTTTTTTCAGAGTTAATGCTACAAATCAAGTTCATAATCTTTCCCCAAAGTACTTGTCGATCAGCTCATTCGCCATTTTTCTAAGATCTTCATTTTTCATGAAATTGGGTGATAAAAGTAAAACAATCAAACTTTGTTGAGAAACATGTAGCACTCGAGCAATATAGAAATTTGTGCGTACCAACTCCAAGAACTGAAGGCCCAGTCGAGCAGCCTCGATATTCACAGATCTTACCAAGTCACAAAACCACTGAGACATCCTCTGTGCCAAACAAGACAAAACAAGCGCTCGACAATCAAACTCGGTCTTCCGGAAGCTTCTGAAGGGGCAACACAGAGGTTACCTAGAACATAAGCCACCTATGAATGGAAGCACAAGAATTTTCAAATCATGGAAAAAGATTATCTTTGATGTGTGTGTGTAATATCCCATATCACTTAATCCCAGTTTACCATAATCTCATAATGCAGTCCATGTTTGTCCATTTAAAAATTAATTATCATTTAAGCATACAGACAGATCCATTGGCACCAATATGAAGCAACAACCAATCAATCTATAAAATGTTGAAAAACTTGTTTAAGTCAAATGTGGTATGAGTATATATTGAATAAGTAGTTGCAAGCTGTTTGATGATGATAGTCTATCTACAAGTATTTGAAGCAGGCCACATTTTGCTAGCATAATAGTAGCCATATCTGAAAGTGAAGTGAAATTCAAAACCACTCAGCCCACTTCGGTTGCCAATTCTTCATTTCTGATCAAGCAAGCACACACACACACAAAGAGGGTTATATGGAAATCGGTGGTTTAAGCGATTGAACTGAATTTACCAGTTTTTAAAGAGAATAAGAAAATGACCAGAATAGGAAACTCGCCTAACGTAATAATTCTTCCCTTGAAATAGCATGGAATGCTCCTCTAGCATGACTAAATATAACTGGATGAGAAAAAGTAACTTGTAACTTACCCTCTCTTCAAGTGACAAATAATCGCGTCAAGAACTCTATCAGTTCTTATCGATTCTGTGGCAGCTTTTGGGGCAGGTCCCTATTCCCAGAATACTATGTTACACATATCACACAGAAATAATGAACAAGATGTGAAGATCCAAAAAGAACAACGATCGTAAGGGGAAAAATAATGAAAAGTGTTTCCCCAAAACCTTAATTAAGGTGATATTGCTCAAGCAGCTGCTCTGCAACTGGCAGAGACCTCTTCTCTGCATATGCACAATAAAACTTCTATTAATTTCTTCAGAAGATGTCACCAGAAGTACCATAATCCACTTAATTATAGCAAATCTTGGTGCTGAAAGGTAACAGACACTGCCGTAGATAACGTGTAGAAATCCACAAGCAGATGGCACATTTTATCATTTTCTGTTCAAACTGCTTGAATGTTTGGCTTAGAATAAATCGCGTCTTACTTGTAAAGTCGCGCTGGGTTTTGTTTTAGTTGATAGGTTTCCCAACGACGTCGTCTCACTTGTTCATTACGACGTCGTTTCCTTATGATCTTGGTTTAGTATAAATGTCATGTACCTGTACTTTTGGGCGCAGAATACATTTTGAATAAAATCATTTTTCTCTCAGCTCGAAATTCTTCATGGTATCAGAGCTATGGGGACAACCGTCTGTGAGCTGCAATGGGTGTATTCTTTAGCTAGAGACTTTCTGCTGCAACCACCATTGCCTATTACTCTTTGGTGTGACAACCATGCCGCTATGCACATAACAGCAAATCCGGTCTTCCATGAAAGGACAAAGCATTTGGAGATTGATTGCCACATTGTACGTGACAAGTTCAAGGCAGGGTTTGTTCATCCATCTTATGTGCCATCCTCGGCCCAACTTGCTGATTTTTTCACCAAGCTGCTGCCTACTACAGTGTTTCACAGATTGCTGGGCAAGTTGGGTGTGTTTGATCGTACCCACACTCCAACTTGACGGGGGGTTGTAGAAATCCACAAGCAGATGACACATTTTATCATTTTCTGTTCAAACTGCTTGAATGTTTGGCTTAGAATAAATCGCGTCTTACTTGTAAAGTCGCGCTGGGTTTTGTTTTAGTTGATAGGTTTCCCAACGACGTCGTCTCACTTGTTCATTACGACGTCGTCTCCTTATGATCTTGGTTTAGTACAAATATCATGTACCTGTACTTTTGGGCGCAGAATACATTTTGAATAAAATCATTTTTCTCTCAGCTCGAAATTCTTCATAACGAATAATCCGTCATTTAAGCAAGCAAATGCACAATCATTCAGTTCTTCATATCCCAACCATCAGCTTATGTGCATAAAAATTAGAATCCCAAAGTAAGTAAATAGCCTGTTGTCCCAAATACCACTCTGCACCCAATTTTACTCAACTTGCATATTACATCTAGTTTGTGACTGCAGAAAACTCTTCAATTCAGAAATCAAAACTTCAACCAGCTAAAAGAAAAATGAAGTAAATGCAAACTTCCATACTGATATTCAATGGCACACTTTAACTCTTCCATGGCTTTCAAAGTCTGACCCTCGAGAACTGATTGATCTTCGTCCATCACCATTTCATCATCAGCAAGAAAAAGGATATATAGAAACAAATAATAATAATAATAATAATAATAATAATAATAATAATAATAATAATAATAATAATAATAATAATAATAATAGCCGAGTTAATCAAACTTTGTGAATGACACACCGAGAAAAAGATAAACCACGGCTTAGCGCCGCCGCAAACCCATCTCCTTCCGAGCACCGATTCTCAACAGTAACCAACGAAGAAAATCAGCTATCGACATTGTTTATCGAGTATCAAACAGGAAAAAAAACAATTTGTATTTCACAATCCCACACACATACGAAAACGAAAATCAGATTAAAGCATGGATAAGCTCGAACGCTGAAAGGCATATAGAGGAAAAGAGAGAGCCTGCCTGATGGGTCACCTGGGGAGTCTAGGTTTCATCCGCCATTGTCACGGATTTTTGAGCTCCAAGAGCAGTGAATTTTCGACTGTCAAGTTCCTGCAGATAGTGAAGCAAGCACGCGTCTTCGAAAATTTTCTTAATTTTATCGCGCGTTTTTGAAAGTGGTGTTTCATACAACTAGTGCGTATCGATGCACGGACGAGTTTTTTACTTAAAACATTTTCTAAAATTGTATATTAAATATAATTATTTATATTTAATATTTCATTATTATAAAAAAAATACAAAATATGAAAATTTATATATTATTTATTATACTGAGTGTCCCCAACTAAATCAATAACATTCAACACATGATATATGATAAAATTAAATATATGATACTCATACTTTTTGAAAATATATATATGTATATATACCTTTTTTTTATGAACATGAGATATTTAAGGTCCACATTAAAATTTATAATTTGAATATGAGATGAGAAAAATGGGTATGTAAAAAAAAAAATGTACCAAGAACCTATATAATATGATATTCTTTCTAAACTTTAAAATATTTTGTAGTTAAGTAAATATGGACAAAAAAATCAATTAAGTTGAACTATCCGAATATAAAAAATAATATCTAAAATGAACATTAATTATTAAATAAATGCGAATTTTTAGTTGTGACCATAAAATATGAGACTCGTAGATAGATAAATATAAATAAAACAATATTTAACAATTAAGTTTGGCATGACTTTTCGAAAGTTTTAAAAAATTTCTAACGTTTTATTCATTAAATGGTTGACTGGATTCTTATAACCAAATTTGCATGTTTGACAGGAGAAATTTTTAAAAAAAAAATAATTGGTCGGAATTTTTAGAAGCAAAATTTTTAATATTCTTTTTCATTATTGGCCAGATTTACTCGTTTTTTTTTTTAAAAAAAAAATAATCATTGACCATATTTTTATGAATTAAAGTTTACACAATATATTTCTCAAAATAACATTTATTTTAAAATTGAATTCGAATTTTCATCCAGCTGCCATTTAAAAAAAATATATATTAAAAGTAGTAATTTTAAAAATTTTAAACGTGAAATTAAATAGAATTAATTTAATATTATTCGAAAAAATAACGTGACATTAAAAACAAATAGAATTCTTGTTGATATAATCTTTAAAATTCGTAGTGATTTATGAAGATATTATTAAAGTATCAAAATTGATTGACAAATTCGTAGTGATCGATGATCAGGATTAATATTATTGGAAAAACGTGTGGTTTGTTAAGTAAGTTGTAAGAGAAATTCTCAAGTTTTTGGATTTGATTTTTTTTATATTATATAAATTGATTAAAAAATATTTTCCAAAATAAGTTGTTGAAATAAATTAAGTTGGTATGATTAATAAGGACAATATATTTCAAGAGATAGTGTAAACTGATTTTTTTTTTTTCTCAAACATTTTTTGTTTTATTGATTGTACATGTAATAAGAATTTCTTTGGCATGAAAATCATAACTAAAAAAATATTTTGATGATTAAGAATTTTAATTTTAAAATTATTTAAGTAAGTTGTTAGATAAAAAATAGATCAGATTGTTAACAATAGCTATAATTCTTAAAATATAAATTTGTTTTATTTTCTTTAATTTTAACATTGTCATTTAAAAAAAAAAAATGATGATTAAGAATTGTAATATTTTGTTGAATCAATTTAGCTATTTCAATATAGTATTCTTTGACTGGATATATACATAATATTTAAAATATATATTTTATTTTTCATTTTTTAAAACACAAAATCTTCAAATATATATAATAAATTTATGGCTTTGACCGAATATATATAATTAGGACTTTGACAGGATATATAGTGTGTTGGTGGAATTAATGTTGAATTTAAAAACATGTGATGGGCGGAGAATCCAAAAAATTTCAAAAATATTTCTATTATTAGTAAAAAATAAAAATTTGAGCAGAAAATTGTAAGCTATTTTTATATTTTGTATTTTTTTTCTTATTGCTATTATAGTAATAGATTTTGCGTAAATTATTTTGCAACATGTAGCATACGTGTTTTGGGATTTTGAAACCTATAATATTATGTGGTAAAATGCAACATAAACTTTATGAACTTTCTTAATTTGCACATTCACCTATTCACGATTCACCTACATTTTGATCATACACACTTCGTATGGCCAACAAGTAGGCGAGTGTGCAGATTATAAATATTCATGAAAGTTTGAGTTGCATTTTACAACGAAAAATATTTTAGCATATTCTAAAATCACGTATAGCTGTGGTTTTTATTTTTTTTTTTTTTTTTTTTTGAAGTTTAAAGAAACCAGAAATACTTTATAAAACTCAAAAGACACTGCTATATTCAACTGGATACAACATAACGACATATATGCTAAAAAGCAACGACGAGGCATTAACTGGAGGAGTCATAGGCCGTGCTCCCCTTCCAACTTGGGAACTGCCAAACATAAAAGGCAGCCCAACGCAAACAGAGAAAGTCGAGAAGGTAGATCAAACTGGGCCATTCGATGAAGATAAATGGGGTGGATGAGATTAAAAGAGAGAGGTGAGAAGGTCGATTAACCTGGACCATCCGTGTCAAGTCAATATAGACAGATGAGAATAGAAATTGAATAGGTGAAGAGGTGGTCAAGGAAAACTGTCCGATTTAGGTCAAAATAGACGGATGACATTCAAATTAAGTAGATGAAGTAGTGATAGGACCGTTCGACTTAGGTCAATGTAAACATGTGAGATTAGAAGGAGAATATAAAAAAGGTAAAGCAACATGAACCATCCGATAGAATGGAAAATGGATGGGTGAAATCGAGGCAACATTAATGGGTGCGTAGTTTAAGATTGAACAAAAATCCAGACAATGCATCGATATGAAAGGGTGTCATGTGATTTGAAAAGGTGTCAGGTGATTTGAATATTGAATTTTAAAATAAAAAATATACTATTCGGTCGAGTCTGTTCGTCTAAACAGAGGAAGGAGAATATGATTCGATTGATGGGGCAATTCGTTGTTAGCAAAATATTGAAGATACTCAGTTGTATTCTTAGGTCGAGTAATCTTAACTCGACTAGAGTGATATGACCTAATGATATGGTATACTATACCAACTACTAGTCCTCGGGCGACCTGAAAGTAGCTCGGGCGGTTCGAGTGTACCAACGGTTCAGTTAGAGGTCGGTCAACATAAAGTCTCTAAGGCCGAGAAACTATCTTGTCGATTAGGACCTTAGAGGCAAACCTGTTCAACAACAGGTCGAGCTATAACTATAACTCTAGGATAGTCAGAGGAAACTCGACCTGGAAGTGAAGACGTCGGTGGAAGACCTAAACAACATATTTGTTAAGTGAAGACCAAAACGATCAAAGCATACAAGAAGTCGAATTATTAGATCGACAATGTCTATAACGATTACCTAATGAGGTAAATTAATGTAAACAATAGATCATGAATAAATATAAATATAATTAAGATAAAAAGGACACGTGGATAACATAATTGGACAATTCGAGCAGCCGAGTAGTGAGGACAACACCCGACGCTGTTTTGCAAGTCAATCCAATGGTTCAAGAACGAATTGAACGACGTCAGACAGGGTTTAGGTTGTCTACACACCAAAGTTCGCAAATGAATAGATTTCGAACTCATAAAATAATCGTAATTAGGTTCAATCATACAATTTTTTTTTTATATATTATTTTTATAATTCAGTCCGTTAAGTCTTAACTTCATTTGTTCAAAGCTCGAACTCAACTAATTGCTTGTTTAGTTATCGAGTCGAGTTCGACCCAAGTGTAAAAGGCTTTGAGCTTGAATTCATCGTTTACAACTCGCCCTCTTCACTTCTTGTCTTCATCTCTTTTGTCCCCTCTAAGCACACAGTAACAAGAAAGGCCCAGCTAATTCATACTCTCTACCATCAAATTCAAGCAATATCGATTCCCGCATTTTATCCATCTAACCCACAAAATCCCCAATCAAGCCCCATGGCAAGCCCGACCCCGGCCCTCAAAGCCATAACCCTAACTCACGTCCGGTACCAGAAGGGCGACCGGCTGGGCCTCCTCCTCGCCTGGATCTCGCTCGTCCCGGTCTTCATCACCCTCGGCGGCTTCTTCTCCCACTTCATCTTCCGCCGCGAGCTCCAGGGCATGTTCTTCGCCGTCGGCCTCCTCATCTCCCAGCTCGTCAACGAGGTCATCAAGACGTCCGTCCAGCAGGCCCGGCCCGAGACGTGCGCCCTCCTCGAGATGTGCGATTCTCACGGCTGGCCCTCCAGCCATTCGCAGTACATGTTCTTCTTCGCCGTGTACCTAACACTCCTGACCCGCCACAGGATCGGGGCCCTGTTCCGCCACCAGATCTGGATCGTGTGGCTGCTGGTGTGGCCGCTGGCCCTGCTGACGATGTACTCCAGGGTTTACCTGGGTTACCACTCGGTGGCGCAGGTGTTTGCTGGGGCGGCCCTAGGGGCGGCGCTGGGCGGCGGGTGGTTCTGGGTGGTGAATAATTTGCTGTGGTGCCATTTTCAGGCGATTGAGGAGAGCGCGTTTGGTAGATTCTTCTACGTGAAGGATACATCGCATTTGCCCAACGTGCTGAAGTTCGAGTACGAGAATGCGCGGGCCGCCAGGAAGCATGTTTCTTACAAGCGGTCCGATTGAAGGATTTCGCGCAAATTCAATAGGTAATTGGTTTATGTATATTGTTTGATCCATAATTGAGTCTTGTTATGAACTGATTGTTTGCTTTGGAATGGAGTTTTTTTGGTGAAATCTTATTAATTACAGCTCAAATCCGAATTTCTATCGTGTGGTTAATGGTCATAGAACTAAGCCATCATAAGCTGATGTGCGGACTTTTGTCGTGCGGTTAGTGGTTATAGAATGTGGTACGATTAAATGGATGGTGAAAATTCGGAAGCTTTGTGATTTGTGTTATTTGATTGATAACTGATAAGTTTACTTTTTAAGGAACTTCTAATGCTCTTTCATATGGAGAGTTTGCTATTTGTGTTATTTGATTGTTAATTGATAAGTTTATGTTTCAAGGAACTTCTAGTGCTCTTTCATACGGAGAGTTTGCTATTTGTGTTAAGTGATTGATAACTGATAAGTTAGCTGCTTTGGACTGTGGCGATTCAACGAAAAGTCAATATTTAGGGTAACTTCAAGGTAGACCCATAAGCTTGACTTCATTATGCGCCTGAATTGGCCACACCACAACTAAAAAATCGCAGCTCACAATCATAAACCTACAAAATATTTGGGAGCGTGGGAGATGTAAGAAATTGGACCAAATCTTTCTACTTTTAGCAAAAGTATGTTTACTCTTACAAATCAAAGCTAGCATATGGAATGTTTGGAAATTTATAAGCTAGCCTTGTGCCTTTCAAACTCTATGTATAAGTCTAGCTTTGGAACTACCCTAAAATGAGTTGTACTCTCATCATGTTTTGGCGGTGTTTTCATTTTCATATTGTCATTACCTAATGCATTTTCTGCTAAGGCATTATGTCGTGTGTGGATATGGGTGACTTCTGTGTTTGGTTCTTGGCTGTAAAGATTTCTAATGTGTGAGCCTTTCTTTCCTTTGTGTCGGAGTAATTTTTTTAGTTTCTGGTTTGTGTTGTATTTTTTTGGCAGGACTTCTTTGGAAAATTGTAAAAGATAGATGCATCTCTTGTTGGTTGCCTTTGAAGGAAGATTAATTATTCAGAGGATAAATTATCAGTGTGAAAGATAACTGAGAAAAGACCTATACAGTAAGATGTCTTGAGGAGCATTTTTTTCTTTTTAAACGGTAAACCCTTACAAAGTAAAACTGTTGTTTTATTTATCTACTCTGTGTTGTTCTTGTTGGAATGTTGCATGCATGTGTATCATGAACAAACTGTTTACACACATTCAATCTCTTTCAAATATTATTAATTGAGAGGGGCTGAATGTAGAGATGTTAAACGAAATAAGCCGCCTGTTTAGCTAACAAGTCGATGCTCGAAATAGGGATTTTTATATTACTTTTTTATTGCTCTGTTCGTTAAGGCTCAAGTTCGGCTCTGCTCGATAAACTGATAAAGGCTCGAGCTAGAGCTCGAACTCCCCTCGGCTTGGCTAGTTCACAGCTCTAGCTATGTGCAACTCTGAGAAAGACATGTAGTTGAGAAGCTGAGATTAGTTTAATGACCACAATGATGGTGCAAAAAAGGTTCTGTAACAGACTTATTTCAAGTAGATTATGAGAACACTCTCAAGTCTCAAGTCTCAAGTCTCAATAAATCTGCATTCCCAGGAAAATAATTGAGAAGCTGCTTATACTAGAAAACACTTTACTCAATTTATGATATTTTGAATTATTCATGTGTATCTTGACTTTACAAATGCTTAGGACTTACCAATTTAAATTATAAATATACTTAAATAAATTATTTTTTTATTTGTTATTAGTCTTTCACTTATGTTATATAAAATTAATCACCTTTTAACAATATTTGTATATTGCGTGTATAAGGTATTATCTTTCGACGACATTCAATTTGATATTCATATTACAAACTAACATATGTAGAAGGTTAGACACTTATATTTAGGGAAAATTCTATCATAACACCTAAATTTATGTAATTTTGTTAAATTATGGTCTTAATGTTAATAATAATTCTTAATTGATGTTACAATTTTAAGCTACTCTTAAGACCTACTTTTATATTTTATTTCCCAGTATGGTTCACGTAACTTATATTTTGGAATATATAATAACAAAAAATTAATTTTTTTTTTTTTCTAAAAAGTTTAATAAACTTCATTTCAAAAGTTCAAAAACTTGAAAAGTGAAATTTAAAAATATATAATTTAAATATTATTTTGATTGATAATTTAAACTAGTACAACACCCGTGTATTACACGGGTGCTTGCTAATTTTTTTTTCTTAAAATCTAAAATTAATGAGAAAAAGTAGTTGGAATTTTAAATACTTTTTACAAATATATATATATATATATATATATATATATATTATATTTAGTATGACACTTTTTATTTGTGTGACTTATCTGTGTCATATTATAATAATTTTTTAACTTACAACATATTACTACATTAAAAATAAATATATCAATTGATAAATAATTTTATTTTTATATTGAATTTTAATAAATATTATTATTCTTTATTATTATAAAGATAAATATAATTTATTTATTTCATATATACAATATGGATGCCAAATCGAAGATCATCAAAAGATGATTAATTTGATATATAATATATGTAAAATCGATAAAAAAATACAAAAGTTATCAACTTTTAAAATACATTTATAATTTAATAGCTAATTGAAGGAAACAAATCAAAAACGGGGATGGCGAGTGCGGGTGGGGTTATTCGTGATAATCTTGGTAATTGGGTTCGAGGTTTTGTGATGAATATTGGGTTCTGCTCGATCATGGGAGCCGAACTTTGGGGACTATTTCAGGGGCTGCAGTTGGCGTGGGATATTGGTGCACGTAACATCACGGTAGAGGTTGATAATCAGAGCGTTGTTACGATGATCCACCAAGATGACTCTACTGGACCGTATGGAAGTCTTTTGAGATGCATTCAGGACCTTCTACGTCGACCATGGACTGTGAAACTTCTTCATTGCTACCGTGAAGCGAACTTCGTAGCGGATTTTCTGGCCTCGTTAGCGGCCCAGGGACCGGGTGGCCTGCATGTTTTGGATAGGCCTCCTCCGGGGGCAGGGTTATGGCTACAACATGATATTGCCGGTGTGTCTCATCCTCGTCGGGTGCTGAAATAATCAGGCTCTAGGCTTTGCCTCCTTTTTTGTACCAAAAAAAAAAGTCAGGGATATATTAGTCACTTAGTGCCTCACTTTATAAAATTACAAATAATTAAAGGGTTATATTAGTAAAAGTGATATTAAAATGCCTAAGTTAGATAAATAATATTTATGGAATGTCCGAACCTAGATTATTAATTATTAATATATCAATATTATTTGTCCAAACCTAATTACGAAGCATGATTCTGCGCCAAATAGGATTACGAAGCACCAGAATCAGCCACGTAGGCTCAGCGCATTCGAGAATTATATATAGGGAGGATAAGTAATAAAATTTAGAAATAATATTTTAATTGAATCCATAATTTCTTATCTTAAGATTTAAAAGATATATTTTAAAACTTCAATTCTTCAAAATTTCAAACTTTCAATATTATATGATGATCTAACCATTACAAATCGGACTATGAATTACTTGATGATCTCACTCCATCTTCAAGAAGCTCAAGATCCTTTTGGGACTAATTGTAGATAAGAGGAATGACTCTTGCGTCGGCAAACTTCACATTTAAAAATCCTTGTAGCTGTAGAATTTTTATTTAATTGGATTTATCTTTTAATGAACCCTATATATATATATGGTGGAAAAATTCCTCTCATAAATGCATATGCATAGCCTCAGCCACGATGAAGCGTGTAAAACACAACGAATCGAGAAAAACGCCGCCTGACCTCCCGGCGGACGTCCGCCGTGAAATACTCCTCCGGGTGCCGGCGAGGTCCCTGGTCCGCCTCCGCGCCGTCTGCCGGTCGTGGCTCTCCGCCATCGATGACCCGAACTTCGCCAGGTCCCACACCGACAGGCGCCTCCCGTCCGACGACACCCTCCTCGTCCGAATCACGTCCGGGCCCCCCTTCGCCCCCCTCTACTCCCTAGATCTAGAAGCCCTATATCTCGACGACGGCCCCAACATTGTCTCCGCCGCTGCCTTCCGCCGCCCCGGGTTCCCCTCCCCGCCGCACCTCCCCGCGGCCAATTGCGACGGCCTGCTCCTCCTTGCCGACAAATTTTGGGCGATCTGGAACCCCACCACCGGCGAGCTCCTCCAGCTTCCCCGTGGCGGTTACACCGCCGACGTCGCCGCGTCCGGACTCGGGTACCACCCCGCCGCCGCCGATTACAGGGCGGTGGTGATAGATCGGCTCCCCCTCCCCATTTCCAGCCAGGCGGAACCCGTCTGCCGGATCCACATCTACAGCCTGAGATCCAACTCGTGGCGGATTCTCGGCAGCCCCCCGCCGTCCTCCCGCCTGGAGGGGCCCGGCGTTTTCCTCAACGGAGCCCTCCACTGGATCTCGCAGGGCCCCGGTGGGATCTTCGCCTTCGATCTCCAAACCGATACCTTCCGGCAGGTGGGAGAGCCTCCGGCCGGCAACCACCGAAGGGGAGCTCCGGCCGGCAACTGGTACTTAGACGTCTTTGATGGGTCTTTGGTCCTTAGTCGTTACAACAACATAGACTACAGATTTTCCTCGCAATTTGAGTTGTGGGTGATGAAGGAGTATGGAGTGAGTGATTCTTGGGTGAGGCTTTTGTCAGCTAAGGACCGTAGAAACTTCGAGATTCGGCTGCCGCCGGTGGTTTACGTGAAGGGCGGCCGGAAAATCCTCAAGATGGTTCGTGGGGGGTTTTGTTTGTTCGACTTGAAGAGTCGTTGGTCCAGGAGTGTTGGTGTTGGTGGTCGGAAGATTGGGTGTGCGGACATGTCGGCGCAGGTTGTACAGGGAAGCGTTTTTCGGCTGCATGATAATTGTGGTGTGGATGAAGGCCACGTGGCGCGGGGAAAACGAAGGAGGTGAGGTGTTTTGTGTGAGGGATGGCGGGAAATGTGTGTGTTTTATGATTCCTCAAATTGAAGATGATGAAGATTAGTAGCTATTTTAGTGAAGAATATATGAAGCATTTTTTTTACCATATCCTAATGCTTTGAGTCTAGTTTTATCTGTAATTATGAATGACTTGTTAAATAATAATTATATGGGAAAACATTAGGCCTGGACCTATGTCTCAAAATGGACTCAACCACAACCACTTAAAATGGACTCAATTGCTTGTCATAGTGTAAAATTTTGCTGATTAATGCCTCGTGCAGCCTGATTTCCCCAACCAGTCAGCCTCATGATGCCAAAACCAACCTCCCAATCATGAGGTTAATCGGAACCCTAATCGAATTTGCTGATCAAAAGGACAACATTGTTGATTGATGATTCAAAATTCGGGATCGACAAGGTTAAATGGAACCCTAATTTGAAAATCGATTGGGTTTGGAATCCCCTGACTCGAGAATGTAAGGAATTATAAAGATAGAGAGTGATACTATTGATAAGCAAGCTGAGCATGACAATTGCTATAGTAGTACTGATTGTATCTCGTATTATTCGTTCAATGTAGCTGAGGATGGTGGCATTTTACCTCTTGATGTTTGCCGTAAAAATATTCCTCTGTCTCCCTGCAAAGTCTGATCAGGTTACGGGCCGTTTCTAAAGCATGGACCAAGCTGTTCTGTGTAAAGCCCGAACTATGGTTTTGGGGCCTTGAGCATGGTTTAAGGCCGGTGGCTCGTATGAAGGACAGTGGTCGGATTTTACTACGAGATAATGTGTATGGGTTTTCTTTGTTTGATGTGGAGTTATCCTTTGTTCTTTTAGTTGGGAAAAAGATAAAGGATGGGCATTTTTGCAGACCCAGTGACCAAAATGGCATTTCTTTTTTCTTCTACATTTCCTTAATTTCTTCGTAGCTGTTAATGTTCCCTTTGTTTCTTCTTGCTGCAGGTTCTACTTCTGTTTGAAAGATGCTAGATGTCGTGATTTTATCACATGTGACAGTTGTCATGTTCTAGAGCCAAATTGGTGTAATTTCCAAGGTGAAGAAGAAGATTAGTAGTTCAAATCGTGCTAAGTGCCGAATAAAGTTTTATGATCTTTCGTCGTCTTCAAGGTTTTGATTTCGTCTTAATTTCTGGTTTGTTTTTGCTGCAATTTTGTTGTGGATTTTCGTTTCAGGTTGTTTTTCCATGGAGGCATCTTTCTTTTAGGCTATGTTTGGTAAGCCTAGTTGATTAGTTAGCTTATAGCTTTTAAGTGAATTTTTGAGTTTATAGTTTATAGCTGAAAAGCCAGGATAAAGTGTGGTAAAATTGGCAGATAAACTTGCTGAAATAAAAAATTAAACGAGCTTATTTGAAAAGATACCCCAAGAAGCTTATGAGGTAAACTCGTCCTACCAAACGAAACTTATTTGAATACATGAAGCTTATAAACTAATCATAACAACCAAACGCAGCTACCAAACACAGCCTTAGCCTTGGTCGATCTGGAGCTGTTAGATTAGTACACTCTCATAGTCCAACGGTAGAATATTAGATGGAATTTTACTTGGTATGTGGGCCTTTACATTATTTTGTCTATAGGCGTAGTCTTTGAATTTGTACTTCTTCTTTCACCAAATGCATCAACAGTCAAAAGGGAGAATGGAGGAGCGCACAGAGGTGTCCTAAAGGAATCAAAACAAGACAAAACAAAACAGGGATGTCAAAGTTGTTTCCGGCTAGGGCTAAACTTAGAACCCGGAGACAACTAGGACAGCCCTAGGCTTGCTCAAGAGAATCTGAGAAGCACTACAAAAGTTAGACAACCGTTGGACGTTCAAATTTGGATAAAATTTCAAATCCTCGTCAAATAAGATTGAAATTCTGATTCCTTTACAAGTCTAATCTCTTTTAGCTCATTATTCATTTGAATTGAAGTGCAACTTTGTGGGAGCTATAACCTATTATCCACTAAGGTTCAAGCTTTCTAATTTAGTGTATGCTATTATAATGTTTATTTCTACTTATTTAATTAATGATCTAATAATGTGGGACGGTCCTTCTCATTACATAAATACGGGTATTATTCAAGTCAAATCAAGCACTTTGTGACCGAGCCCATGTTCATTTAATAAACGAGCTAAAGTTTCGGCTTGAGGTCAACAACTAAAGTTTCGGCTTGAGGTCAACCAATTTTAGCTCACGAATCGTTTACCAAATCTAAAATGATAAATGCACGAACGAATTTGATTAGTTGTTCGAGATCGACTCAAATTTCAATGAATGGAACGGCCAAGTAGAACTCTTTCATCATGCACAATATTGGAATCACAAAAAGGGTAAAAAAGAACAAGAAAAACACACACGCGAGCACAAAAAGCCAAAAATAAAGCAAAAGTGTGGAGAGCCCACAATCCATTAACCTCTCTACACAAAAACGCCAAAAACAAGAATATCTTGAAAACCCCTCAACCTCACGCACGCACACAGAGTGGATATCTATGCGCCACGTGTGAAATACAGAGAGCCCACCGAGAGAACAAGCAAAGATGGCATCTTTATCGAGGCCCGTGTCCAGCCCAGCCCGTGCGGTCAACTACCCGCCGCCATTGCTGAGGTTCTTGCGGAGCGGCGCAGGTAGCAAGAACAGAAAACCGGCTCGCCGGAGCCCGGTTTTCGGCCTTCGCGGAGGGAGGAGAAGCTCGGCCGCGCCGGAGCCGTCTTCCCCGAAGGTTACGTGCACGGGCCAGGTCAGAGAATCAGGCGGGCGGCGCCGCCGCTGCTGGTTGTCCGTGAAATCAAAAGCCCTGTTTTCGAAATGTCAAGAAAGGTTTTTTAGCTGGTGGGTTCTGTTGAAGGGTGAAAGGGCTGAAAATTCCGTTCAAGACTGTAATGACGAAAATGCCCCTGACGGGCCTTCTCCTCCGCCGCCGGAAAACGCCGTGATCTTGACCAGGTGCATGTCGGCTCCGTACAGATCGTCGTCGTTGGGAGGGTTAATTTGGGGTTCTTCGTTGGGTGAGGAGAAGGGCAAAATTGGAATTGAGAATGGGGCAAATTTGGAAAATCTCAGTTGGGAAAGTTCAAGAATTGGTGAAGAAAATTGTGGCATGAAATTAGAGGATTTGGTGAGAGATTTTCAAGGTATAAAGGTGAATGGGGGAGGTGCTGGTGCAGTGCACCCATTGCTGCTCACAAGGTGTAGATCAGAGCCAGCAAGAAAAGGTCTGTTTTAGTAGCTGATGATGTTGCGAGTCTTGTTCACAAAATATAGGTAGTCGATGATTAATGAAACTCAAGTTCTTGTTTGAAGTTGTATAATCGTTAGTCGGGTCTACCTGTTATAGTTTATGAACAAAAATACGTAAATATACTAACAAATGTCTTACTTGTGTTTCTTGTACGAATCCACGAGAAGGCCTCGTCGACTAGAGTGTAGAGAATTGCTCTTTTCCACTGATCCGTTGTACTCTATGAACAGAAGTACGTGCATATACTAACATATGTCATACTTGTGTTGAATGTTTTTTTTTTTTTGAAACGATAGGAGAGTTTATATCAACCAAATGTACAAGAATACGAGCCGAGAGCTAAGAAGCTCAATTCTACAAAGAACTAATGGACCACACCACATGGTGGCCTAGAACTGGAATAGAACACCCTAGTACCCAAGCCAACTACACAGATATGGCCTCTTTGACTAAAGAGAATCGCATTCATGATACTCTATGAACAAAGATGCATGTATGTACCAATATATGTTGTATTTTATGTTTTTTATGTTCTTTTTTATGGTATGAATGCACATAAATATTCTTTGACTAAGAGGATCTGTTTTATCCATCAATGTTCGTCACATTGCATGACAAAAGTGCATGCGTATACCGAACTATGCCTGTGTTTTTCGTTCTTTTTCTTTGTATGAATCCACGAGAAGGCTTCTTTGCCTAAAGAGAGTTGCTCTTATTCACTGATTGTCATACTGTATGAACAAAAATATATACTTGTAAGTTGTACCACATGTTATACTTGAAAACTTTTATAGTATGAATCCACAGTATGATCCTTCGACTAAGGAGAATCGCTCTTTTCCACCTTTGGAAGTAGTGGAAAGCGGAGAGAAAGACCTCGATTGGGGAAACCCCTTGTTTTTTAGTACATGGTTTGATTAAATGATCAAGGTTCGAGCCTTATCCAACTAGATGGAGACGTTATGTACGTACCTTCTCCATGGACGACCCTAATCCCAATCGTGCACTACAAAAAAAACACTACAATTCCAACGGCAAAAATTTATGTTGGAAATTCCAATGAATATTCCAACAAACTTAATTTTATGTTGGAATAAGTGTTGGATAGTTGAGGAATTCCAACGGATTTTTTCCGTTGGAATAGCTGTAGGAATTTATTTCCATAGGATTTTCCGTTGGATATTTGCTATTCAAACGGTCGTTTTTCCAACGGATTTTTATACGTAGGAATCTCCGTTGGAATAGCTATTCCAACGGAAATATAAAAAATTCCAACGAAAATTTTCCGTTGGAATGTAAGAGTTTTTTTTGTAGTGGTGGCACCTATAATTATATAAGATCATCATCTGCATATGCATAATTGCCTGTATTAATGTGTCCAACTTTTAATCAATCTTTTAAATATTGTACCTAACTAAATATGATTTTGACCAAAATACTGTTTTATGCCTGTTTTTACAACATGTTTTACCGAAAAATAATGATTAAAACATAGATACTAGATTTTAAAAAATGTGCTTTTTAATATATTTTTATCAATTTATTCACATAAAATGAATACACTTAATTTTAATATATTTACGTAATTATTAAGTTTTAATGAATTTTTAGTATTATTAAAGTTGGTTTTATACATTATTTATATTGTGATAATAAATTAGGTTATTAAGATCGATAAAATCGATTGAATCAAATACTTGATCTAGTTGAGCCCAATAAAATAGGTGGGGATTGGGTGTGGTATTTTTGGGCTTCGAGTCCATAAGAAGGCATGACCAGTTATATATTTGGTTTCAGTTCATAATTCATTAAGTTGTATTACAAGCAAGCAGTAATGCTCACCTACCACGTTAACGTGCACATGTTAATATATACACCGTTTATGTGGCATGCATACATTGGTGATATATATTTTTGAACATATTAACATCACCAATGTTTGAATGTCACATAAGCAATGGACATATTAACATGTGTCCACCGTGGGTAGGGGAACATTATCCGTCAAGTAAAATTCATAAAGTTAAAAGTAAATAAAATAAAACAAAAATTTCACTGAATTGTATTAAAAAGCAAATTATGTACAATATAAATCAAATATCAATAGAGATCAGTGGTGAATAGTAAACAGCATCCACGTGAGAATTAAAAAAATATTTTGAATTTTTTTTATAGAAAAGGTAAAATAAAAATGAATCCCATAACCAAAACTATAATAATTAAATTAATTTTAATACGAATTTACAAACACATATCATGACTAATTTTATACTAATAATAAGCTTAATAAATATCTATATAAGAGATACGTACTTGCAGATTTTTCCACCATACCAGAACCCACCCCAACTCGGGCATTTATGTAGTATAATTCCACCACAACCCGACTCAATACTCGATCATCTCGAATTTTCCCGATTCGAAACACGGATAACTCTACTGAGTACCCACATTGTGTGTTTCGAGTCATCAAATCAACACACACCGATGTGTGCATTCATGTGATCCAACGGTTCTAAAAGAGCCTTTTTCAACAAGATGTATCCAGCCAAATTATCCATGCCTTTAAAATTTTGGGCCCTTTAACAATTAAAACTCCATTAATATTAGTTCACATTTTATTTTTATTACCTTGTCGGGAAAATATTTGAGTTCATATTACACAAAAACTGTCATGATGTAGCAGCATCATAATTAACTTTCATACACTTAATACTTATGGTCCTCTTTTGCTACAGTGCATTAAATTTTCTCAACCATAATTGTTCACCCCCCAAATTGTGTACAAATTTCAAATTGGCTACGAAATAATTGCAAAAAGTGCCCACTAGCTATTTACTGCAAAATTCCAAACATTTTCTCTCCTTAGAAACAATGAGGAGAATTTCAAAATTGGTCCTCTTTATTGTTCGCTTTTCATTATTGGTCTTCGTTGAAATTGACCCTCATCAAATTTAGTCCTATAAATTGACATTTTATCAATTGCGGTCTCTATTTATCCGTAACCTGAATAAAAAAAAAAAAGTGACAATATTGAGGGCCAAGAATTGACCGTCATCAATTTTTAGTCAATTTTGAAAAAAAAAAAAAATTAGTGGACCGCAATTGAGAAAAATGTCAATTTAAAGGACCCAAAAATAAAAAGTGGATAATATAGTGGAATAATTTTGAAATTTATGCAGGAAATAATGGGCAAAAACTAAGCCTCCATAATGTGGTGTGCCATGCATATGGGCTTGTGCAGAAAATCACAGAAATCAAACGTGGTTCAGAAGAACATAAATTGGAATAGAAAGAAAGTAGGTTTTTGTGTAGTGAAGTGCAGCCAAAGGTTTGGTTTTCTAAATGTAATGTCCCTCTTAGACATCCTCAATAATACACACATGGGGTTGTCCAAATACAAGCTTCTAATTATCCTACCCAAGTAGGATAATTTTCAAGTATATGAAAAACATATGTTTATTAACATTATTCTAGTAAAAAAATGTACACTCACTTTCTCGTGATGCACCGATCAGAGTTGTTGAACGAAACGAGTCGTTTGTAAGCTCGACTCGACTCGACTCATTATGGCTCGATCTGTTGTTTTTCTGTCCCATTCGATAAAAGAGCCGAGCTCAAACTATTTTGATTAACGAGTCGAGTCGAGAATATCGACACGTTATGATCGATAATATGGGGTTTTACTTGATTTTCAAATGTTTAATTTAGCTCAACTGATTAATGCTTGAATTCGATCGTTAATACTGATAAATAAGTCGAGTTCAAACTCAATTATTGACTCATTCCGTTAACAAGGATGAGCTCTAGATGAAAACTAAACTCGACTCGGCTTATTTTCAGCTCCAACAACAACCCAAAAATCTTGGTTTATATATAATTCAAACTCCCACACAAGGGAATGGTTTTCAATCATTTGATTAATCCTAAAATCTCACTCTTTCTTTACCAAACTCATACATACAACTTTCATTTCCCTTCATTTTCTTGTCCACAACCAAACACACCACAATGATGTCATCACAAATCACACCTTACATAAATGTTTCCAGCACTACACATCCAAATCAACCCCTAATAATCAATGGCTGTTGAGATTGTGACACTTTCAATTCCCAAACACACCCTTAGCCCATCATCAAAATAACACATAAAAGAACAAACAAAAGGAGAACTTTCTGATTTTTGTGCTATTTTTTTGGCAATGAAGGCAAGTTTAGTGAGTGTCATGCTTCTCTTATTTCTCATCATCTTAATCGGGCCGGGCTTTTCCAGCGGTCAGTTCTATTATTTTTACGTTTTCTTTGCTTGATTGATTAATCTTGGTTTGATTAATATTTGATTTTTTTTTTATTTTTTATTTTTTAATATTGCAGGGACTTTGCATGTGAAGAATATGGGTTCTGAAGTTTATGATATTGACTATAGAGGCCCAGAGACACATACATATTTACCGCCACCGGATCGGACCGGCCAGCGACCCAGGATCCACCACCGGGCCAGCAAGGCCCAGCGGAAGTCCAAAAAATCGGTAAGCTATATATATTGCAAAATATATCCAGTAACTTAGAGCTAGCATGGAGCATATGATAATTTTTTTTAATGATAATATTCGCGATTGCTGAAAATGTCGACTAACTAATCAAATCGCAAATATTACGAATAAATATGTAAATTAATGAGTATATTTTGCCACTTTGATAACTATTGGATATTTTTTTTTTAAATTGCAAAAGTTATAGGCCAATTTGTTATACATCTTAAGTTACTGTACATATTTTATAATAATTTTGCCTATTTATAGCCCATTAAAACTTGCTAAATTTTATTAGTATTTTTAATTTTATGTTACAATTTTTCATTTTGTGGTGCAATTTTTTTTTTTTTTTTTTTTTTTT